GAACATGAATACATAATCACTAATCTATTATCAGTATAATCCGTATAGTGAATGTTTATAATAGCCAATGGGAAATAATTTATAAGCAATAACTTATTACTGATAATTTTAAAAGTAATATCCATATCCATATATAAATGTTTATATWTKTCTATGGTAATATCTAATAAGTTGAAGTTAACAAAAAAAAGCCAATGGGGGGGGATATAACCCCTAACCTCCCCACTTGGGTACGCCACTGTATCGCATAGACAAAATTCTCATTTTTATATGGTGAATATTTCGTATCTTAGTTATGAACACTTATAATTATAACTGTAGCTTTCTCGGCTGTTTCCTGCGCGAAACAGTTCCTTTTTACAATGTTACGCACTTGTAAGTTGTAAGACGGAGAAAACACAAGCGGGTGTGGCGTCCTCTTAAGTACTTTCAGTATAGCATACCAGGCGATTATTTTATCGAAGAATATTCGTTACCTATTGTGTTTCGAACGCTTTACATATCTACCTACTCCATTATTCATCAAAGGCATGCTACAGCTACCTATATAGCTATTACCTATAACTAATTTTGTAACTATACTCGTCAGAATTTYGATTGTTATAATATCTACACTAAAATAATCAAAATATAACTACTACACAGAATATGAAATACCTTCTTTTTTTTTCAATAAATAGAACCATAAATAATATTATAAAAATTATTTCTAAACATATTGATAAGTTTTGAAATAATTAGTGTTCTTTAAAAAAAAAAAAATCATCCAGCATAATTACAAATTAGTGATGTATATACCTAATATTATGCTAGTAATTATTATTTATTATTTTTATTGTTTATAGATTATAGTTAATGAACAATGCGATATATGGTGTATAGGTAACTATTGCACATGATTATATTATATTATTATTATACCATACAGTGTGTTGTAGTAAATAAGTACTATTTGATATTGACAGCTGTATGTTGGTAATAGGCTCATTGCTATCGGCATGTATAATTGAGTAGCTATCAATACAGGATGATTATTTTTAACACAAGAAGTGTTAAAGGTTAGTAAGATTATTCTAGGTCCCCTTGCACATAGTACCTACAATTTATTAATCACCAATATGGTATATTTTAATTATGAAAAATTATTTTAAAATAAAAATATTAAACAATTGTCTTCAATTCTTCATACAGATATTTTAAGTACAAATTTCTACAAAATTACATACCTAACTATTTTGATTACTTTTTTTTGCAATCTAATGTTACTTTTTGTGTTTGGAGATACACCCCAACTTTTTGTTTATGAATTATTTGAAAATGAAGCAATTACAAATAAATCTAATAATATAGTGAATGAGAATATTAAATATTTAAATAGATAATTACTTTTTGTCTAAAGTGTGATGTTTACAAATATGGAATGAATAAGTTGAACTGAAAAAAAATTAAATGAAGACATGTTAAAGACAATAAAAAAAAAATGAGCATTAAAAGATACTCTAAAGAGAGGGAAATGATAGATGGTAGGCTAAACGTTGAGGCATAAGGATGAATTTAATAATTGAAGGTATGATGGAAGGAACACAATCAAGAGGAGAACCTAGAACAAAATACATCAGCCAAATAAAAAAATATGCAAGAGATACTTCTTACAGTGAGCTTAAAGATACAGYGAATGACAAGGGAGAATAAAGAAGACATATTTTGTGTGAATAAATTTGTTCAATYCAATCTTCGGATTGAGGAAAAAGAAAATGACTATATTATTATAAATACCAACAATAAGAACCTACTGTATGTTAATTAATTATAAAATTTGGTGATCTATCAACGACTACTCCACCATATATTTTCCCTCCACTTCTTGACAAAGTTTCCATGGACCAAATATTGGTCTTGGGATTGTATATTTCAATAGTATCAGCAATAGATATTTCAGTTTCTCCACCAATAACATACAATAGACCATTCAATGCAACTACTCCTATATAGAAATGTAAATTAAATTCAATATATTTTTAAAGTAATCCTAAAAGAAAATTAATTAATTTAATCACCAGGCMTGCATCGGCATAAATGCATTTCAGAAATTAAAGACCAAACTCCATCATTTGGTCTATAAATTTCAACACTTTTAAGCATCTCAGATCCATTAAAGCCACCAATTGCATACATAACACCATCCAAGACTCCAACACCAACACCAACGCGGTATTCAGACATTTCTGACACTGGTGTCCACTTATCAAGACTGGGATCATAACATTCAACTGATTTCAATATTCCTGACCCTAAACCATATCCTCCATTAGCACCTCCAACCTTTAATTAAATTTAATGTATTAAAAATTTAAGATAATCAAATAATATTATTCTTACAGCATATAAAATATTATTCAGCACACCAACACCCAATCCTTTTCTCGTAACAGACATACTTGATACCATTTGCCATTTTTTAACACTGAAATCAAATACCTCTACACTATTTAAAGAACTGGCACCATCATAACCACCAATCTAAAATTTAAAATAATACATAATTATATTATACATATAATAAGTATATTATTAATATAACTTACTGCATATATACAATCATTCAATACACMAACTCCAGGGAGTTTTCGACTAATTAACATGTTGGCCATGGGCACCCAACAGGGTGATCGTAAAGATACATCAAGCATAGTAACAGATTGACAACTTGATTTTGTCATACCTCCCACAGCAAACACAAATTTATCTCTTATTACATCAAGACCAGCTGCCTGACGACAATCATTCATCCCTGGTGCATTCTTTCGTAACTTGGTAACTGGGTCATACCATTCTGTGTTACACTTTGGCAAAGTCTTAGACCGTTTAAACAGTAAAATAACCTGAATGCAAGTAAATAGTCAATATAATTTTGAACWTAAATTAATCAAAACAGAATTATACTTTTTGTGAATCATCAAACTGTCTTAGTTTACACCTTATCGTTTGTGGAATGGTGAAATGTAGAACTGAATTATGTAGATTAAAATGTAATGTTTCAAATGTATAATTGGTGCCTAATAATGGAAATCGTACATATATAGTTAATTCTGACAAAAATTCTTTTCTTTGATCCAAATCATATTTTAATCCAGATATAACAGATTTGAAAACCTACAACAAACAATTAAAATATAAAAAAAAAAAGTTAATATTAAACATCATTAGGAGTTCTATCTATTTGTTCCTATAATTACATATTTATTTATGAAATCATCCCATTAGTGTATAATTACTACAGGGTATTATCTCTCGGGTTCCTTAATTGTATAGCAAGCTGAGGAATATAATATTTTATTATAATTTTAAGGTTATCTTTTTTTAATAATGTCTATATCTTTGGTGACATTCTATATTTCTATGTAGCATTGAAATCAAAATATTTAGAAAAATTAGTATAGGTTATTTTTTTAAATTTAGCTTAATATTTGTTATTTATAGCCATTAGCCACATACCTATTATTATTTATGGTGATAATTTAATGAAATATAAATATAACATCTTTATGACYATCTAGATAATACTTTGATGGAAATTTAAAACTTATAAGAGTAAGATTGAAATAAACCTTTACAACTGTAACAGTAAACCCTGTAGTGATCGCGTCGCCTACAGGTATCAGTAGTCAAGGATGATGTTTGGAAGGTGACTCTTGAGTTAATTACACAACGTAGAATTCTTCTTAATTAGATTAATTGTTTATTTATTGTGGTAAACATATATTTATTTATAACATGAAAGCTGAATGTA